GGTGCGCCGGTTTCCTCCTGCAGTCCAAAGACATGCTGGTAGCTTAACTGGCTTCTGGGTGGATGCATTTTCTCACAGTGATCAGCAGCCATGCAGAATCTGTGCATGTGGGTTTACTGGTACATTTAACAGTGTGGTGAAGCCTGAACAGAGAAGGTAGTACATAGATAGCAAATCAAAGGAAATTACAGAATAAATACGGGTAGGACTTTTTTAAAACTTCATCGCTGACTTGCATGTGAGTCATTTTACTCGTCCAGAGTTCCCGAAAGCTAGCCTGCAACGTGCCTGTTGAGATAAAAGATGTATCGGTTTTCTTTTTACACATGGCAGAATTCCGCGAATTTAGGACAGAAATAAGTACACAGCACTAGAGAATCGGAATAACTGATAGTCAGGAACAAAGTGAGAGAAAGTAGCTTTGTATTGTTCTTGGTGTCGGAGGCTTGAGCTGAATGTTTTAACAGTGAGCTGCGCAGCAAAAGAGCTGTAAGAAATCATTTCAGTTTGTAGGGCACTTTTCCTAGGACGCTTGGTGAGGTCAATTAAAAAAACCGTGCCATAAGCGAAAAGGTTCTTTAAACTGTAAAGAAAGATGTTAAGAGAGAGTGGAATAAAATATGTTCTTGTATTTACAGTGTATGTTCCCATAATCTGCGGTGATTGTATTCTGCTTGCTTTAAGGACAGGAACCGGTGTAGTTGACCTTTCCCCAGCCAAGGATATGTCGTCGTTCACTACCGTCGTACGCAGTGATGGGACTTCTCTGTACATTACCAGGCAAGTTGAGCAAAGGCCTTCATACTGCCTTGACTGGCTCAGTCTTTAACTGTGAAGGGTCGGGATTAAATAGGGCCAGTTTAATCCATGTGTTAAAATTCTTCAGTTACACCTGCCTTTTCTTTGCTAAATCATTATTTAAAGTTCATTGTGGGCACGAACAGATTTAAGTTCAAGGAGAAGTGCTGTACCTGGCCTTGCGCTGGTGTAAATGATGACAGGTTTTAGTTTGTATTTGTCTATTGTATTTTACAGAGATCTTGCAGCTGCTGTAGATCGGAAGAATAAATATGATTTTGATGAGATGATTTATGTGGTAGGTCTTTTTACACTCATTTATTTTTCCCCCATTAATTTGAGAGTAA